GGGAAGGACCCCGGATTCCCAGGCTTACTCTTTTTCTCTCCTTTATCCCATGCGATCCCAGCCTCCTTCACTTGGGCCGTTATGCCGAGCATCATGGAGACAGCCAACAGGTCTGTTACATGGATGACAAATCGCTCCTAAGGGAAGAACAATGGGGTCAGCAGTATTTCAGATGCATCCCTGAGGCAAAGACCCAACTGAAAGGGCTGCTAGAGCTTCCTGGAAGATCAAACTGGATGAGGAAGCAATGATGGCAAGTATCAATCAGGAGGCATCAAGACATGACAGACAAAGAAGGGTGACTAAGCTAGCTTATTCCTTCCTTAGGAGAGGGTTGAAGGGACAGCCATTGAACTGTAAGTACCAGTAAACAAGCTGGGCAGCCAGGATGTGGCTTCTTGGGCACAGTCACAGGGGTACAGGCAAGGAGGTGCATGAGCCATGGAATGAAGGTCAGGAGACCTGGCTGGGAGTCAAGCCGCCAAAGGTAGAAAGCCTCAGTGAGTCTCCTCTGGACACTACCAGGAGAATCAGCCGCTGTGTGAGAAAGAGACAAGGTGTACCTTGAATTCCATGTCGAGGTACTGGGGCTCCTTCCGCTCCTGCATGAGACCCAGGCAGAAAGCCTGGAAATTGATTTCATGCTTCGTTTGTTTGATGATCTCTCGCAGCAGCGCCCGTGAGGCCCGCAAATAATCATCCTTGTTAGTCAGGAGATCCTGAAACACCATCGCCAGGTACTGGGGCACACAGAAGGGGACACAGGGAGAAACTCGTTAGCGCCCAGCATCAACTGTCAGCATCCATGGGCAAATGAACAAGACATGCTGAAGCCCTGCTGGCATCAGTGCCACCTGCTCAGCCCACAGTAATGCTAGAATGAATTTGCTGAAGGGCTCCAAGAGAAAAGCTGCTCTCCAAAACATTTCTCACCAACATGATGGCCACACTGATAGCAAAGCCAGACACCTGGAGCATGTGGGAGCAGGAAAGCACCAATGGACACCAGCTCCAGACACGTTTGGGACTCAGAGTTCCAAAAGAGGAATCTTACAGCCTCTCCCTGCAGTAAAGGTCCGGCTGAGTCCCTCTATCCCTTGGACAGAGAAAGACATAGTCCAGGAGTCCAGCCAGGCAGCCGCCCCTACCTTTGGTGCTTGCTCTGAGCTGTGCTGCAGCACTGTGTACAGGATCTGCATGTTGTTGGGGTTTCTTGCGTTGGAAAGTTCGTTGAAAATCACAAACTTGATCATGGTGCCCAGGTTGTCTCGGTGCGCATTCAACAGCTCCCTGCAGAGGGAAGGCCAGAACTGTCAGAGCAACCCCAGCCTGGGAAATCCTCACTGCTGGGCACACGGGCCCTGTCTCAGTTCACAGAAAATGCACCGCAAGCAGAACAGAAAAGCACCAAGTATGTCTAGGACCTGCTGGCCAATTTCCAGATCACCAACCTCTACCAATACTCATTACTTTACATGCCCCAAAATGAGCTTCCGCGAGGTTATATATCCCCCACCCTTCCAAACAGTTCTGTAAGCCCCTTGGCACCCTCCTCGACTGCAATCTGCTGACATGCCCCACTGCCTGCTTACCTAACACACAGCATGTAGTGGTTGAGAAGAACTTTGGGCTTGAGGCGGATTTTGATCAGGTTGGAGATGACCTCCATGTCCTCGGAGCCATGAGTATTGCAGTTCATGCAAACCGACATGAGCAAGTCCTGGGCCGGTCTGGTCAGCTACGGGAGAACAGCA